CACTCATGTATTAAAATAACTTTCCCTTTTTGTTGCCTAGTATCTGCCAAAAGTTTTTCCCCTAACTACACCTGGAAGGAACTAGAATTTACTAAATAAGTGTCCCCAAGAGGCTGAGCTCTGATATGTACATTTGATCTTCAATGCTAAAAGTAACCCTTAAATTTATTAAGTAGGCACTGTCTTCACCATACAGAGAAACAGCCCCACCTGTTAAGAGTTTTATCAAAGAGTATAATTTTCCTAAGTTGTAACTCCAGAACTCAAAACCCAGGTTAACACCTGGCTCTTCACTGCCTCTTCCCAACACCATCAGCCGAGGGCTAGCCACCTCAGAACCAGGTTACTGCCCTGAAAACTATTAATGGGGTCCCTACTCTGCAGCAGGCACTCCTCATGTATTAGCTTTCCTATCCTGTTTAACAAAGGAAACACCTAACCTTATCTCACAGCTGAGAAAACAGTTTGGGAAAAGCCAAGTCACAGACCTAGGAAGGTATAACACCATGGTGAAAAATGTGGGCTCTGAAGCATAAAAACATCTTGTCTATCTCCCAACTTCTATTTACTTTCTTAGTGTCCACAGGCAAGTCACTTAAGCCCTGTGCCTTCAATTGCTCATCCATAAGATGGACATAAAAGCACCTACCTCACAGGATTGTTAGAAGTAGGATTATATAGACAAGCCGCTTACCACTCTGTCTAGTACATAAAGTGTGCTCAATCATGAGACCCCTCATTATATCTACCACATGTTTATCTCTGGGGAATCCTTTTGTGTACATAGTACTCTTAACTGGGTAATGTGAGACCTTTCTGTTTATCATTGCAGGCAGAGCAAATTGAGGAGATAGTATAGGAAGCATTTTCAAAATCAGACTGCAACTTTAAGAACTTGCTACTTCCTAATAAATGTTGCCCATTCCTAAGTGTATGATTAAGCCAATTATAACACATCTCATTTTAAAACAGTGAGCTTCCCTCCCAAAGTTCTACTGACCTTCCTTCACAGAGGCTGTCCGTCGCCTTGTTCTTTTTCTCCCCTTGTGATCTTCCTCCAGTATCTTATCATCAAAGCCAGTCAGCTCAATGGTTTCAGACTGACTTGTGGGTCCAGCTGAGAACCATTCTGGTTCTTCTTCTGTGTAGGAATCGTTTCTTCTACGCTCACCAAAGACACGCTTACTATCCCCAAACTCCCTCTGGAAAAGTACATAATGCAGATAAAAAATAAGACTCTAGTTAAGGCATTTCTACCTCATTCAAGGCCTTGATGAATTAAGTAATGCTCAATAGTGCAATGAAGATACTATGCTGTAGACTTGAAGCCCCTCTCCGCCCCCATCCAGCTCTCTCTATTCTTCCCTATCTGGCTTAAGAATGGTCTGCGTTCATCCAGGATCTTAAAGTAACCCGGTACAAATGAAGTGACTATTGAGTCCCTAAGTACACCAGGTGCCAAAAAACCTAGAAGACAAACCCTGAAACGCTTGTCCTTGTAATCCCTCTCTCGGTCTCTGTCTCTCAAGTCCCGAAGGTCCTTATCGCTAAGACGGTGATCCTTCTCAAAGGTCCTAGCAGAGATTATCCTCCCACTGCCAATTCTTCGTCCTCCAATCAGGCGAAGCCCATCATTGTCTTTCTCTAAAGGACTTCCTGAGCGCCGGGAACTAACAGCAGCTGTCACATGGCAGCCCCCTCCAAAGCTTCGTCTCTGTGGGCTGAGAATAACATCCAAGTCATCTTCTTTCAGGCGCTCTCGGGGATCTGGAAAGATGCCAAAAATAGAAAGTTAAGCAAACTAGCAAGGGCATTTTTCCTCTCTGGATGGTATGTCCATGACTGGTGGTGGTGTGGTTACTGGAAAAGAGTCACCACTAAAACAGCTACAGAGTAACATGTACATTAAATATTTAAATAAGACTGAGCCTTTTGCTTTTTTATCTTTGTAGCAATAAATGTACTTCATAATAAATTACTTTCCATAATCCCTTTGACTATGTCCTTATCTATATATTACCAAATGTTTTGTCAACTAATAAACTATAGATGTCAGTATTTGGAAAAAAAAAAAAAAAAAAAAACTACTTAAAAAGTTAAAAGTGTCTCTTCAACAAATGGTATTAAATAGGTATCCATACACAAACAAATTAACTTGAATCCATACCTGGTCTCATATACAAAAATTTATTCAAAATAGATCATAGATCTAAATATAAAACCTTAAATTATAAAACTTCTAGAAGAAAATATAGGAGGAAATCTTTGTGACATTGGGTTAAACAGTTTCCTTAGGCATGACACTAAGAGCACAATCCCTTTTAAAAAAAATGATAAACTGGGCTTGATCAAAATGTAAAACTACTCTTTGACAAATAATAGTAAATTCCTCTCTTAAGGTCCAATGGTAGGCTCTCCAACTTTAAGTGAAACAACATACAATGAAACCAATTTTACCACAGGCTAATTGATATAAACAAGAGTTAAGTTCCTATGGCATTTCATCAATGTTAAAATGAAATGACACTAAACAAATAATGTTATCTGAGAACCTGGCATACTAGTCAAAGAATGCAAAAAGAAGCCACGGATTGGAAGAAAATATTTCAAAGTATATATATGGATAAAAGACCTGTATCCAGTACATATAAAAACCCTAAAACACTCAAAAACAATCCAATTAAAAATGGACAAACGGCCCTGGCCGGTTTGGCTCAGCGGTTAGAGCGTCGGCCTGCGGTCCTGAGAGACCCGGGTTCGGTTCCCGCTAGGGGCACGTACCTCGGTTGCAGTTTGTCCCCGGCCCTGGTCGGTTGTGCGGGTGGCAGCCACTCGATGTGTTCCTTTCACATCGATGTTTCTCTCTCCCTCCCACTCTACCTGAACAAAAAATGGAAAAATGCCCTTGGGTGAGGATAAAAAAAAAAAAAAAAAAAAAAAGGACAAACAGTGCCCTAGCCAGTTTGGCTCAGTAGTAGAGCGTCGGCCCGCGGACAAATGAGTCACAGGTTCGATTCCGGCCAAGGGCATTTACCTCGGTTGAGGTTCGTCCCCGGCCCTGGTCGGGGTCGTCCAGGAGGCAACCAATTGATGTGTCCCTGTCACATCGATGTCTCTCTCTCCCTCCCACTCTAGCTGAAGATAAATAGAAAAATATCCTTGGGTGAGGATTAAAGAAAAAAAAGGACAAATGGTTTGAAGGAACACTTCACCAAAGAAGATACATGAATGGCAAATATGAATATGAAAAGATATTCAACATCATTAGCCATTAGGGAAGTGCAAATTAAACCATAATGTGATACCACTACGCATCTATTCGAATGGTTAAACTCAAAAAAAAAGAAAAAAAGAAAAAGAAAAAAGGATGGCCACTCTCTCTCCTGGGAACACACCCCAGTGCCTTTCCCTTTCCCCTCTTCTTCCCCTCAGGTGCATTACCTTTGCTTTTCTCTTTCCTAAGCTCCAAGAGCCCTTCTTCTGCCTCTGTAACTTGTTTCCTGAGCCTATGCAGCCCAGCTGGCTCACTTCTACTTCTGTAACATTCTAAATAAACTTTCTCTTATAATTTGAAGAGGGGGAAAAAAAAAAAGACTGACCATGCCAAGTGCTGACAAGGATGGAGCAAGTGAAATTCTCATACAGTGCTGTAAAATGGTATAACCACTTCTAAAAAGAGCTTGGCGGTTTCTCAAAACATTAAATACATCTATTATAGGACCCAGCCATTCTACTTTAAGCCATTTACCCAAGAGATAAGAAAGCATATGTTTTACGGGGTTGGGGGAAGGGGGACAGGGAAGAAGGTGTCAATGGGGGAAAAAGGAGAAACATCTGTAACAAAAATAAATAAAAATAATTTTAAAAAAAAGAAAGCTATGTTTCCATAGAGACTTGTATATGAAGACTCATAGTTCTGATTAATATTCAAACACTGGAAACAACCCCAAAGTCCATCAATAGACAAATGAACTGTGGCAAATTCATACAATGAAATACAAGTAGGCAAAAAGAGGAAGGAATTATTTATACACCCAACAACATGAATTAATCTTAAAACAACTATTCTGAATAAAACAAGCTACCCAAATAGTGCATGATGTATAATTCCATTTATATTAAATTACAGGAAATGTAAACTACATATAGTGACAGAAAGCAGATGGGTCTTGAATGGGGGTACTTGTAAGGAAGGGACTGACAGGAGTACTAGAAAACTTTTGGGGTGATGGAAATGCTTACTACTTTAATTGTAATGGTTTCATAGGTGTATATATGTTAAAACATCAAATGGTATGCTTTATGTGCAGTCTATTATATGTCAATTATCTCAGTAAAGGTGTAAAAAAAATAAACATGTCAACACACACGCAAATTCTTCCTAGAAAACTGAAGATAAGTCCAAGACAGAAAATTTTTCCATTTATCTTCAGATAGAGTGGGAGGGAGAGAGAGAAATATCACTGTGAGAGAGACACATCGATTAGCTGCCTCCCGCATGACCCCAACCAGGGCCAGGGATCGAAACGCAACTGAGGTATGTGCCCCTTGACCAGAACTGAATCCGTGTCTTTGGTCCAAGGACTGATGCTCCAACTGCTAAGCCAGAACAGCCACGACAGAAAAACTTCTTTTAATTCTCTCACCAAAAACAGTTCCTAAAACATGTACTTTGTTTTTTTTAATCCTCACCCGAAGACATTTTTGCATATATCTTCAGATAGAACGGGAGAGAGGGAGGAAAAGAGAGAGAGAAACACTGACGTGAAAGAGACACATGGACTGACTGCCATCCACACAACCTCAACCAGGCCCAGGAACAAACCACAGTGGAGGTAAGTGCCCTTAGCGGGAACCGAACCTGGGACTCTCTGGTCCGCAGGTCAAAGCTCTAACTGGTGAGCCAAAACGGCCAGGGCAGAAACATACTTTTTTGAGAACTTTTCCAAAACTTTCTTGCAGTGTCTCCATTTTTTCCAACACAAAATATAATATGGGCAGTGCTTGCTTCAGCAGCATATATATTAAAACTGGAATGATAAAGAGATTAGCACGGCCCCTGCACAAAGATGACATGCAAATTCGTGTCATATTAAAAACAAGAAGAAAAAAATTATATAATATGGACAGTTTTATATAGCTTGGTAAACACATCTCCAACATGTTTTTAACAGCTAAACAATATAATATTCACACATATTCAACCTATTTCTACTGTTGGACAAATATTTAGGCTGCTTCAAGTTTTTATCATTTTAATCAAGTCTGTCGCACATCTTTAATAACTGTTAGAATAAATTCTTTGGTTGAGGAACATTACTTCACTATGTATACTAATAAGATTCTGTGTATAAGGGTCTTATAGCTAAAACTAGAGTTGAGTCACCTGTTCTCTTTGCTCAGTTCCAAATTTGTTTTATGATTGAATCTTCTCATCTCAAAAGGAGTTTCTCTTACAAGTTTCTTGATTAGATTTATAGTGCCAGGTTTCCATTTCACTCTTCAGTATCTTTTCTAGTTTAAACAGGTATAGGTATGGCCCTGGCAGATTTTGCTCAGTGGTTAGAGTGTTGGCCCATGGACGGAAGGGTGGCGAGTTCGAATCCAAGCTCTGGTTGGGGCCGTGCAAGAGGCAACCAATCAATGTCTCTCTCACATTGATGTTTCTCTCTCTCTCCCTCACTCTTTCCACTTCATCTAGAAACTAATGAGAAAATATCCTCAGGTGAGGATTAACAAAAAATATAAAATAAAGGGGTAAAGATACGGCGGACTGAACTTTAGTCTCAAACCATATCTAAACCTTATATTCAGATCATAATCCATTATGAATTAAGAACTGCTAGAATTGCTCGGCTGGTGTGGCTCAGTGGTTGAATGTCCACCCATGCACCAAGAGGTCGCTGGTTTGATTCCTGGTCAGGGCACATGCCCAGGTTGTGGGCCAAACCCCTAATGGGGTTATGCAAGAAGCGGCCAATTGATGTTCTCGTTCATTGATGTTTCTATCTTTCCCTTTCCCTTCCTCTCTCTCTAAAATCAATAAAGAATCCCGCCCCCCAAAAAAACTTAAAAAAAAGAATTGCCAGAACTGATTTATATCTGAAGACTTAAGTCTCATATATGAGACTAAGCATAACCAGATTGCCAGCACAGCTTTGTGCTCCCTACCACACCTACCTCAGTTATCCCTGTCAATGAAAGACATCAGCACTTTTATTCAAAAGCACATAGCCACCCTGGCCAGTTTGGCTCAGCAGTTAGTGAGTGTCAGCCTGAGGACCAAAGAGTCACAGGTTCAATGCGGTCAAGGGCAGGTACATCAGTTGTGGTTCAGTCCCTGATCCTGGTTGGGGTTGTGCAGGAGGCAGCCAATCGATGTCTCTCTCTCTCTCCCTCCCTTCCACTCTATTTGAAAATCAACGGAAAAATATCCTTGGATGAAGATAAAAAAAAAAAACAACCAAAAACAAAACAAAAGCACATAGCCCTGGCCGGTTTGAGCATCGCCTGCAGTCCGGAGACCTGGGTTTGGTTCCCGTTAAGGGCACGTACCTCAGTTGCAGTTAGTCCCCGGCCCTGGTTGGGTCATGTGGGTGGCAACCACTCGATGTATTCCTTTCACATTGATGTTTCTCTCTCCCTCCCTTCCTCAGACATAGCCTAATATGTCTGCTTGCCACTGCTATACAGGAAGGGTATGATTTAACTCTGTTCATCAGGAAAATTTCAATTGGTAAATCAGTTTCCTGATAATGACACTTTCCCTCAATGCACAAAACTATCACAGCTAAGAATGAAGCTGGTAGCAAAGAGCACTGTCTCCAAAATTGCTTACCCCACTTCTGAGTGACTGTGTGCTCACCTACTATCCTGCGCACCAGGGAAGGCCGGTCTGTATCCAACTCTTTTTTCACACTTTCCACTGGTGAGTTCCTCCCTGAAGCTGGGTAAAGAGAGGCATGCCACTTCTCAGGGTCCCAGACGCCATCACTACAAGTCAAAGTATACCAACAATTAGCACTTAAACCTATGAACTACATATGTAGTCTAGTTTCTGAACTTCCTCAAGTAATAAGTTGTGGAAATCCCTTTCCAATATAAATCATGGTAAGAATGGTTATCTGTTTTAAGATGGAAACAAAAACATTCAGTAATACTTTATTGTTATTCACATCAACACCAGCAGTCACTTGAAAACCAGGGTTCCAGCCCAGCTGGTGTGACTCAGTGGTTGAACACTGACCAAGTGTTCACCAAGAGGTCACCAATTTAATTCCTGGTCATGGCACATGCCCAAGTTGTGGGCCAAGTCCCCAGTGGGGGTCATGCAGGAGGGAGCCAATCGATGTTCTCTCTCATCAATGTTTCTCTCTCTCCCTCCCCCCCTCTTTCTTCCTCTGTCTAAAATCAATAAAGAGAAAAAAAGAAAACCAGGGATCTGTGCATAAATGAAACATTCAGACCACACACCTTGGGGTGTATAGACTACAGTAGCTCTGTCTGTCCTACCCAAAGAACATAGCTCCATAAATATGATTACTTAGTTTATAAGGGAGGAAATACCCCTTAATTCTCTCACTAAAAGTAGCTCCTAGAATGCTTGGTGGTATTTTTCTAGAATTTCTATACATAAGTCTTAGTTTTTCCCACAAACTTTTAAGGGCCTAAAATGTGTGGTTTGGGTTTTGTTACTCCCTAATGATGGGGTGGCAGGTGATACAGTGTGCAGAGCAGCTTTGGAGCCCAGTGATCTGGGACCAAATTCTAGCTCTGCCATCATCACCAGGGACATCTTCGACAAGTTTCTGAGCTATGCCCTTTACTCTTCTGTAGAAAGGACTCCCCCAACCCCAGATCCGACCAGGTTGCAGTACACACTAGTTCTGTTCTCTGCACTTGTCCTTCACAGCCTGTAATGGTGGTGATGACAAACTCTTATGAGTATTTGATTGTATCATTCCACAGACCAATGTTCCATGAAGACAGCACTCCCCCTTCCATTCTCTCTATCAATGGAAAAAATATCCTTGGGTGAGAATTAAAAACACACACAGAACTGGTTTAGTCCTTAGAGTCCCTTGCAGCTCAATTCTTTGAATTAATAGTTCAAAGATAATTAATAATGAAACTGATGAAGACAATGCAGTGAAATGCTAGTCATGTTCATAGTTTATCTGTAATATATTTGTGCTAAGGCCAAATGGTAAAACCTGATATCTCCCCACTCATAATTCTTCCAAAAAGCTCCAAAACAATGTAATTCTTAATTTACCAAGTTTGATATAACAAGGAATTGACTAGAAGAAGCAACCCCTCCTCCCCATGCAATACCTGTTGTATTTTTCAGAGAGGCATGAAGGTCTTTGTTTGGAATGAGGGCATTCTTTTATATCCAAGAGCTCCTCCTACAAAGAGAAATTAAATGGTGATTTTGAATAATATTTCACACACTTTTGACTTATTTTTGTTTTCAAATTGGGTGTCTATCTTAAGCATTTCATACAGTTCCTATTTATTTATACCTGACTTATTCCTGAAAGGGCTTACAAAAAGCTCAAGCAAAACTGGCAAATAACTTAATAGTGATCAGTTTCTTGCTAAGACACATTCTCTTACAAATTGCTGTCCAATATTCCACAATACTCATCAAGGCATGCATGGAAGCTGATGTGCCTACTCTTAAATGCATTAGATGTCAATTTATAAGGAGATATTTTAGTGTATACTAAAGTTGCAAGGGAAAAAAAACACCAAAAAAAAAAACCCACTCATATAACATTTTTATCTGATTTGCCTGTTAACATTTTTTTCCTATTTGCTTTAGCATTTGGACTCTGTGACTACTTTTCCATTCTCCCAAAGATAACAACACTCTGGTCAGTATCATTTCAGATGCATAGGAGAGAAAAATCTGTTACATACAATGGATGCCTTAGGGCATTAGGGCTTATTTCTGCAGAACCTGGTTGAGAAGAGCTGTCAGTTTTATATAACCAGTGATCAATAATATTTTTATTTAATCTACCCCTTCTGGATCCCAATTTTGTCAACTGACCCAATAATGTCCTTTATATTACTTTTTTCAGCCTCCAACACAGGATCCTAGAATCAGATATTGGTTGTCATGTCTCTGGTCTCTACTCTGGAATGGTTCTGCAAATGCCTTTGTCTTTTATGGAAGCCTACTTTTTGTCTTCTTTAAAGAGAACATTATTAATTATGAGTTTGTCTAATGTTTCCTCACAATCAGATTGAAACTGAGCATCCCTGGAGCAGAATATTAACCCAAGAGATGTTGTGTCCATCTTAAAGCATCATCTTTGGCCCCGGCCGGTTTGGCTCAGCAGTAGAGCGTTGGCCCATGGGCCAGAGTTGCAGGTTCGATTCCAGTCAAGGCCATGTATCTTCGTCCCCGGCCCTGGTTGGGTTGTGTGGGAGACAGCAAGTAGATGTGTCCCTCTCACGTCAATGTTTCTCTCTCTCCCTCCCACTCTATTTCAAGACAAAACCAACCAACCAAAAAACACACATCACCTCTGGATGCCCATGGTGTCCACCGGCCCACCAGTGACATTAATTTTGACCACTTGGTCAAGCAGTTTCTCTACTGTTCAATTACTATTTTCCCCCTTGCAATTAGTATGCAATCTATGGGGAGGCACTTTAAAATCATCCCATTATCCTGGTCTTCATAAAAATTTCCCTCCAAATTTAGCATCTATTGATGATCCTTGCCCAAATCAATCTTAATTTTCCAACTCCTGGCCTCTCTCCCCATTTACCAGCCAATGTGTGGCATTCCACTCTAAACACAAACCCAATCTTCTCCCTTCTTTATATACCTATTTATTGGCATGGGCTCACAGATTCCTAGTTTTTCCAACAGTCTATAATTTATGTCCTTAATTATTTTGGTACTCAAACTGGGAGCTTCTTCAAGCTGGCTCCTGTGCGTTTTTGACATGCTCCATTATTAAAAAAAAAAAAAAACCAACACATTTCCCTACTTTCTGTTTTATCTTGTACCCATCCTGTCTGAGCCTTAGAGTCAGCCATTTTTCTAAGAACTCCTAGTTCCTTTAAGTGGGGAATGTGTAAGAAACCAAGGTCTTGAAACTGGGTATCCTCGTTTGCTTCTTGGCCTTTTCAGCAGAAATATGTACACTTATATATGGACAATATATATACATTAATATACACACATCTGCTCATATACATGCATATACACAAAAACCACTGCCTTTTTATATATTTAAACACTTTCATAAAAAAGTAAAATCAATTCCCAAACTCTCAGTTACCAGTAAAATGCTATAACTGCCTTGCAAAAAAGCATATACCACTGTGCTGTGACCCTCTGCCATACCCCCATCACAGGCCCCACTGCTTCTTTTAACACCACTTTCCATATCCTGAGGTAAATATGGAGGGATATAGATTTACTCTCTGTCTACAGTAATCATCGCACATAAGCATACCATGAATTCACCCAGTGTCTTCAGACACTTGAAGCATCTAAATGTTTTCTCTATGATAGCAAAATGCACTAAGACCAGATGCCATTTTAGCTTTAAAACCTGAATATCAGACATTTGTATTTATTTATGAATTATGTCTTATTTTTTCGATGGAAATACTTTGAAAATTTGGGAAGTCTGAGAGAAACTGAATTCCAAATATAAGAAAATATCTAAATACTATTCAAAATTCTGAAAAAAATGTTCAAGCGCTGATGTACCACTTGCAAATTGCCAGTAAAGATTGGAGTCCAGTGAAATCTTCAGGGCAAACATGATGTCAGAGTTGCAGGGGTGATACAAATTTGGTGGTGGAGGAAGCAAGGGTGGGGCAGATGGATGATGATAGTAGATATTACAATACAGAAATCCTAAGGACAGGAAGGCTTAAAACATTTGCCACTAGAAACAGGAAGAACCTTGCAATATAGGAAATACTTATACATACACTACAGAAAAAAGATTATAAAGCAATTCTCTATTAGAAGCAACCCCAAAATTGTTATCTATTCCCTTACTCCACTACCCTCAAATCCAAGTATTAAACTAAGAACCCTAATATAATATTAAACCAAGGGCAATACATTTCATACTTAAGTATGTGTATTCTCAGTATACAAAATAATCTAAATAATGAGGCTTTGTTTGAAACTTTTAGCTCCAAAAGATAATAGGCAGCACAGGTGATAGGTGTTCTGTTACTACTAAGATTGAGGAGAGATGACAATTAAATGTAGTATGGTATTGTGGATGGAATCTTGGAACAGAAAAGGGACATTAGTTTAAAAGTAAGGAAATGTGAACAAAGTATGGACTTTAGTTAATAACAATGCATCAACATTGTTAATTATAACAATTGTATCATACCAATGTAAGGTATTAATAGGAAAAAATGGGTGAGGAGTTTATGAACTCTTACTATGTTCCCATGTTTTCTGTAAATCTAAAACTGTTCTAAAAAATGAAGTTTATGTCTACTTCACACCACATACAAAAATTAACTCAAGACTGGCCAGTTGGCTCGGGGGGTTGAGCGTTGTCCCATGGACTGAGAGGTCCTGGTTTGATTCCTAGTCAGGGCATATGCCTGGATTTTGGGCTTGAACCCCAGTAGAGGGTACGCAGGAGGTAGACAATTGATGTTTCTTTCTCACATCAATGTTTCTATCTCTCTCTCTTAAAATCAATAAAAACATATTAAAACAATAACTCAAAGTGAAAAAATATTTACAAATCATATATGGTAGTCTCCCTTTATTTATTTTCACTTTCTGAGGTGTGAATTCACTAAAAACCACTGAATGGTGTACCTTAAAAGGAGTGAATTTTATTTTTGAATTATATCTCAATAAAAAAATACATTAAAAAATATATTTTTATTGATTTCAGAGAGAGGAAAGGAGATAGAAACATTGATGAGAGAGAAACATCAATCAGCTACCTCTTGCACGCCCCCTACTGGGAATCGAGCCTGCAACTCAGGCATGTATCCTGACTGGGAATTGAACCAGCAACCTCCTGGTGTATGGGTCGATGCTCAACCATTGAGTCACACCAGACACCAATAAAAAACATTTTTAAGTAAATAAAACTGAGAGGTTCAATTACCAGAGGATAATGTTTTGTTTAATTTATTTTCTTACAGACTTACTGCTCTAACACAGACTGATAAATGCCAACTATTCTCAGATACGAGAGTCACTCAGGTTGGTAAAAATGTTTTAACTTCCCCTCCTGTATTATTCCAGTTTTCTGTTGACTTTATATACTTGGCATATACCAGGTGTGACTAAATACTCAAACAACTGACTATACAAGATAGAGCAGTGAGCCAGTTGTACACCAGCATTAATTATGCCAGCAGTACCTTTTGTGATAGGGTATACCTCTAAGTGGAATGGCTAAAACACAGCTGTCTATAAAAGAGGAAGAATCACTTTCTTCAATAACAGACTTGAGAACTGGGAAAACAAAACAATTCTTGGATTGTAAAGGCTGCTGGGAATAACTTTAAACATCTAGGTAAAACTATATTTATGGTTCTTGAGAGCAGGGCTTCTTAAATGAGTTTCATGGCTTCAAGGAAACCATATACAAAAGTATGCATTTCTGAAGTGAATGTTCATACCTTCAAAAGATCTCACAGAGGTTAAGAAATAGTACTTGAAACTGATCATGTTTCTCAAAATGTGACCCAAGGTCCACCTGAGCATTTAGGGAAAAAATGAGAGAGATCCTCTTCACAGGGCTTTAGAGAGCTGAATCTGTTAGCAAAGTCTTAAGTTGCATAAGATGATATTCCACCCTGAGAGGATCCCTCACTTAAGTGGGGAGGAGAGAAACCACAGGCTAAGTCAATACAAAGTTTGCTTTTTTTCATAAATGTCCATTGAACATTTCCTGTGTGTCAGGCTTAATGTCTACCATAGGCAGATGACTCTTGTCCCTGGCCCCAAGGCACTCAAGTCTCTCAAGAGAAGTGTTTTTGAACTTGCCATTTCATCAAGAGCCCTGAACAACAATTATTCCTGGAAAGGAACCCCTCTGGGATATTTTCAAAGAAAACCTGAAACTTTAGCTAAAGAAAAAATACTTGGAAAGTGCTCACTATGAACTCAGAGTGCTCTCTCCCTAAGAGTATTTCAGGAGGGAATATAAGATTACCCTTTTGAAGAGACCCACGAAACCACAGGAACTTACTGATCATGAACAAATTCACTAAAATTATCATGCGGACAAGAGAAGAGTTAATATCTGATACATAATTTTTTGCACAGGTTAGTAAAATCTGACCAGGCAAGAACAAGCTGCTAATTGCCCTAGAGCCATACACCTAAGTATAAACACATTTTCTTAGTTTTAGCAGCCTTAAAGAAAATGTCAAGCCTCCCAAAACAATTTTCATATTTGGGAATTACTAATATGGACACTCACTTTTAGTGATCAGTACTAAAGCAGAAAGCAAATGAATGAGTATAAACCCCAATAACAGTGGTTAAAATCCTCATCTAGTTTCTTTCTTCTGCAGAAATTCCATGAGAAGCAGCTATGCATTCTGACGACGTAACATAGAATTTCCCACAAGTCACTTATAGGATATAAAAGGGGAAATATTCTTTATCTCTATGATCTGACTTCAATTCACAAGAGAAGAAAGCTCAATTTTTAATAATTAACATAGATAAGTTTTATTTCCTTGTTAATGGTCAAAACATTCTAGAAGTTACCCCCTAGTACCTCACCTGTGTGTAGGGCTGGCCCTTCCTAAAGAAGGCAAATGTCCCTGGAGCAGCATTTGGGTTGGGCTTGCCTTTGACCTCCTCTCCCAGTCCCTATCCTCCACACACCCAGCAGCATTGGGCTTGGCCCATCAGGCTCTCAGATGACTGCTGACTGACCTGATGTTTCATTCTACCAAGTTACATAACTTTACTGAAAGAATTAGCAGGTTTTTAAGAATAGACCACAATGGGGTAATGACATCTATAGATGACACCCAGGGCAATGGTGAACTATCAACACAGGGGGTACATGGGATACAGTCCACCATCCCTCATTCATAAGGGTTGTTGCTAAAGGGGAACCCTGTAGAACAGTTTTAATAGGTAAGTCAGGAGTCAAACTGGATCCTGCAGTTGATATGCAGGACTTAGCTCTTGGACTCACCCAAGCATCTAATGGTGGCTGATTTAATGCAAAGACTTTCTTCTATTGAAAGAAGTTATTTGAATCTAAGAAGGGAATGGAAAAAAGAAAGGAGTCTATTTTTTTTCCCTGTTGATCTGGCCAACGCAATAAACACAAACCAAAGCAATGTAAAATGTTAAGTAAGCAGCTAGATAAATATTAGAAGGAAACTTAAATTTATTTTTAGGGTGGTGGCATTATATCTTCAATAGGACTTTCTGATTTCATATTAAAATGGAGATGGTCACTGTGACATTTAAAAAATAAGCATCTTGACCTGGCAGGTTTGGCTCAGCAGTTAGAGTGTAGGCCCACGGACCAGAGAGTCCCCAGTTCAGTTCCCACTAAGGGGACGTACCTCAGTTGCAGTTTGTCCCCAGCCCCAGTTGGGGTCACGTGGGTGGCAACCACTCGATGTCTCTCTCTCACGTCGAGGTTTCTCTCTCTTCCTCCCCTTCTCTCTTGCTCTATCTGGAGATAAATGCAAAAATGTCCTCAGGTGAGGATTAAAAAAAAAAAGCATCTTGACCTAAAATTGGTATCTAAAGGAGGTATCTTTTAGTACCCTGCCCCCATCCTTTTAGGCCATAAGCAGTTTTCAGCACTTATTGTGTACCAAACACTTTTCTAAGCACTGGACATGCATTTTCTCATTTATCCCCCACAAAAATCCTAGGAACTAGCTACTATTCCACCTGCATTTTAAAGAAAAAAGGATGAGATTCAGAGGAGCTGAGTATACAGCAGAAGGCCACACAGGTCAAGTAAGTGGCAGAGTGAGGGATTCTAAACCAGGCAGTAAGGCTCCTAATCCTCTCCTCTCCACTGCCTCTCTTGAGAGGACAAGGGAAGGCGCACAACCCCTCCCAACAGCTCTGTCACTCAGTGTTATGTTTGTCCTAGTCTAGTGAGACCACTGGGAACTCTAAGTAAAACTGCCACCTTGATGGGCAGGCTTCCCCTAACTGGGTCTTCTCTTCTAGCACCCTTTCCTGAATCAAAAGCTATGTTCCTAAATTTCTATGTTAAGGGTTCCAATTGTGGCCCTGGCTGGTGTGGCTCAGTTGGTTGGAGCGTCAGCCCCGTACACCTAGAGGTGGCAGGTTCAATTCCCCGGTCAGGGCACATACCTTGGTTTCTGGTTTGATCCCTGGTTGAGGAGTGTGTAGGTGGCAACCAATGAATGTTTCTTTCTCTCTCCCTTCCTCTAAAATTAGTTTTTTTTAAAAAAAGGTTCCAGTTGTGAAATGACTATCTATCTATTGAGAAGTTCCCATTATGAGTGAATAGGAGAGGATACTCATGGGGGCAAGGGCCCTGAATCTTAAACTTTCAAGATGACTTAGAAGTGGAACAGGGAGGAAAGAACAGTTAGAAGACAGCATCTATACTGTTGCAAGCCAGCCCCTTCTCAGAACTTCCAGTCAGCTAGGTTTTCTGGACAGTTGAAACGTTAAGATTGTCTAATAATTTTTCTTTCTTACTATTTACTTATTTATTTTAGAGAGGGAAAGAAGGGAGGGAGGGGGAGAGGGAGAGGGGGAGAAGAAAGAAACATCAATTTGCTGTTTCACCCACCTATGGATTCATTGGTTGATTCCTATATGTGTCTTGACTGGGGAATGAACCCACAACCTTGGTATATCAGGACAATACTCTAACCAACTGAGCTACCCTGCCAGGGCTGTAATGGCCTTTCATACCATAATTCTGCCTTCTCTAATATAAACAGGTACCTATTTTTATATTAGCTTAAGAAGTTTATAGCTAAGTGTGTCACTGAAATACTACCTGTTAGAGGTTACTACTGAACTCAGTTTACGAGAGAAACCTATAAAGTTATCAAATGAGACCTTTGTACAGGAAAAACTGACCATCTGACTACTGATTTCAGCCAAGGATTTAAATCATAGTTACTCTTTTCTTCTCAGAACCTTGTTTGACTTCAAGTCTCACAACTGATTTTTCTCCAAGAAAGCTAGGAGGATTACTCAAATCAGTCAACTTCAGTTGTTGGTCTATTTTCTTAATAGTTTTAAAGCAAAGACATAAATATGGCTGCACCACTGTGACCAATTGCCCATCAGCCACGGATTAGGGCCTCATTTAAAGATCCCTACACACACTGAAGGCTAAAATAGTACCAATTCATAACAAGTCGAAACAATGAAGATCACACATGAAATTAAGCTCAGATAATCCAACACCTACTTTTAGATTTAAGATGCATGATTGACACTGGTCAGTATCAAGGTGAATGGTTTGAGTGTCCTGTTTTTATTTCCTGTTCCACTGGCAGGTGGCAACATTTAATGAGTCAGTGGTACGATACAGGAGCAAAGAAAGAGCAGCACTAAAGTATGTGTAGTCTATGATCTAAGATCAGTCTGTTCATTTGAAGAAAAAAACACATGGATCTGAATAATGGGACAGTCCCAAGCATTTCTATTTTGTATTTCAAGCAGAAGACAGTATCACTAATAGAATGGCAAGTACTACCTACACCTCAAGATCTTGTAAATAGGACCTCTAATGAAGGTAAAAAAAGTTGAATGAGTCCCAACGTTTTTCACTAATATGCATCACTACCTCCTCTATTTCCTAAACCAATGGTTCTCAAACTTGAATCAGAGTCAGAATTCCCCGGAAGATTTGTTAAATGCAGATGACTAGGCCCCATCCCTAGAGTCTGATTCAATACCTCTGGGCTTGAGATTTTGTATTTCTAACAAGTTAGCAGATGATGCTAAATGCTGGTTCAAAGACCAGACTGTGAGAACTACTGTCTAAACCACTTTTAGTCCATGACTTTGAGGTGAGACCCACTCTATAATTTCCAAAAGTCCCTCAACATAATCCAATCACTTTATAAGTGCAATTTAAATACTACCAAAGTGCAGCTTTTGATCTTAGGAATCTGATTGGCAAAATGGACCTCCAGGGGTTTTTTAATTAAGGGCTCAAACCCCTCTGGATAACAGGTACATTTGATAAATCCACTTATAACCATCCCCATTAAAC